CAACTTTTCTCCATGAAAACAGATAATATATATATATATGTCACAAGTCCAATTTAACACATTTTTCCTGGCTACTAAATATCCAATTTCAGGGTTTTGAAATACATGCAAGAACGCAACTACCAGAGTCGATGCGCGAGAATTATTCCCGATTGAGAAACTTCAAACTCAATTCGTCCTGTCATTATGGAGTACTTGTCCACCTTCGATGCGAAGGGAATTAACGCTGAATGTTGCGGAGAATGCATATTGCCACGCGGTGGCACGTGGTAAATGCGCCATGCGCGTGTCACCAATTAACCCTTTATGGCCCAAATTTCTGTGCGCGCTATCTCGCCATAGTCGGAGTACACAAGTATATATAATCCCGCATCGCTGATCTACGCTGCGAAATTTTCTTTACATTCGCGTCATATATATACGTGATTTGTGAAGCGACGTAACACACTTTTACATGGTATGTTACGAAAGATTTATCTCGTGTCGACGCGACTCGTAAAATAATCATTGCGATATAAATTATAGATCTGTAATTAGTTCGTAAAGACGAAGCTACGAGAGAAAGGCTCGCGAATGTTTTACGATGCAAGGATGTATCTATATAATGCGTTATAGAATATATATTGTCGCTATGGCTTTTAGATATACGCGCGGGATATAATCAACGACATAAATTATCCGTTTATGGACTTTTCGCGCAATAAAAACAAAATTTTGATTAACATCGAATTAAGCGGCGCGGGACGAAAGCGAACTTTATCGTTTCGCTATATAAACGCGTATAATGAAAGCTTAATATTTCTGTATTATACGTTTCGACAACCGCTACACGTGTTTCGTGCTTCAGATTTCGCGATCGTAGTTGAAAGTTAACGTTATTATTCCGCGTACAACAGATGGAGGACATCCGTTTTAATCGGCTCAACTTACCGCATTTTTCTCAATTAAGAGAGAGAGAGAGACTGAAATGGGATAATCAACTAGAGAAAAACACGTATTTCATCCTCCTGATGTGCGCAAAAATTGTCTTGATTTTTTTCGAATCCTGTTATGGATATAGTGATACGCGCGATCAGTTTAATCCGTTCTTTCAATAACACCGTAATAATCGATCTTACGCATTCAAGATATAAAGTGTGGAAAATATCACGTTTTCGAAAATCTGTATATATTTTGTAAATCTCGCGTGTCGCTTGAGAGTTCTCGCGAGTTACCGGGTATCGATATAGCACAAATCTCATTCCGGATATTCCGAAAAACAAATCCGAACCGATGATGCATTCGATTCGCGTCGAATCGATGAGGATATAGTGATACGCACGAGACACGAATTTTAAAAACCATTCACCGGCACGAGAACGCCAGAGAGAGAGAGAGAGATTCCGAGAGCGCGAGTGCGCTGACCGAACAAAGAGCAAGAACAATAAAATTTGCATAGATGCCGAATAAATAACGCGACGCAGAACGCGGGTTGTAAATCAAAACGTGCCCAGTGGCAGCGCTGTGTGTATCGTTCTATTATCGGGATATATCTATTCTCGCGTTTGTCGTTGTGCGACACGAGACTTCTAACGGCAAGAATTTCATCGGGCTCTTAAATTAATGGCGTGTCACGCCATTGTTACGCGATATCGTCTCGAATGATTATCGAAGGAACAAAGCTATCGATTCTAAAGTAATCGGGATTAAGATAAACGGAAATATATATATACTCGTATTTATATTAATGCGTGGCGCAATCGTATCGATTGCACAAAGTGTAGAAAAAACAATTAAAGAACCAAATTTATCTTTCTCGATTTTTCTGCCGATCCAGCACGTTTAATATACACGAGAAAATAGAATGTGTCAAGGAAAACACGATGCAAAGCAAGAGAATTAAACGAATCCGATACGAGAGACAGAGAAGGGGGATATATATAAAGACGAAAGTTAAATGAGAGAAAAATAGATACAAGTCGAACTTTTGCGTTGATAAAAAGTTGGACTTACATCTATATTTTCTTCTCTTCACAAATGATCGAAAGTACCTAGTACCGCAAAATAAAACTGACTTTTATATTACACATTTTTCTCGCACAAGTTTCTCGAAATGACGAAAATGCGCGAGATCATCGCGGCGTCCACGTGAGAAAAAATTCGCATCTCTCGACGGAGAGAATTTCTCTTAGAATTTATTCTGAAAATTATCAAGAATTTTATAAGAGTTTTTCTGATTAATATTTACCACAATAAAAAATATTAATAGTAAAATTAATCGAACATATCGCATATCTTATTGTGATAGAAATATTCATCAGGGAAACTCATAAAATTCTTCCAACACCATATTATTGTCCATTGATTATCATGATTTTCAGGATAAATACTAAGAGAAAACTCTGTGTGATTAAACATTTGTCACAATAATAAAAATATTATACATAACATGTACATTGTAAAATTAATCGTAATATTTTATATATATCTTATCGTGATATAGATATTTTTTTCTTCCAACACTGTCCCACGATTATCATGATTTTCAGGCTAAATTCCACGAGAAAATTCTCTGTGTTCGCATCCAGGCAAAGAACGACGTTCGCACGTAGCTCGCGGATATACCGCAACGCGACGCAACACACATGGCGCGGCCTACATATCGCATATTTTGTAATGTACGATTTGACTTGGCGCGGCAAGAGCAGAAAGCGTGGGTGGCTTCGATCATCGTCGAGGAAACGTGCCGGCGTTGACTCATTCCGACGACGAGTTCTCATAAGCCACGGGTCGCGCAAGGTGCCGGTGCATGCGCGCGCGCTGCAATCAACGGCCACGTATATCTACGCGTGTATGCAGTAAGAGACGGAATTGTCCGTTGACGTCATCGTCGACGATTTATTCGATCCGCGCCCGAAGTTCAACCGTATGCGAAGTGACGCGTTAATTTTATCGTATCGAAAAAAGTGCGAGTTCAGAGGATGTCTCGCGAAGATGTCGATAAGATAATTAAAAAAAGCTTAATTGTTTCTATAGAAATTTTAATACGCGATCGCGTCACGACTGCTAAATATATCGGACGCGATAAGAAGATTTTAAAAAGTATAACATGTAAACGCAATGTCCTAAGCTGTCGATATAAGTTTTTATTAGAAGGTAATTAAAACTCTCGAGCGTTTTCGCGCGTTTTATTTTAGGGTACCCCGGATCCTATTTACGGATGGGATCGAATAAAAAAAAGTCAAAGTTTTTAATATTACATGCTCCACGTCAGTTATTTTTGAAACGGCCAAATTGCATCTCGCACGCATTGATGCATATGACCGAGATATATAGAAATATACGCGGAAGCGGTTTGGAGATGTTTGCGAAACATATTCCATCAGTCACGTTAGTTTTTAGAAATAGCTTTTTCGTCAAAAACTTTATTGTGCATTTCAGGTACATTTCAAACCATCATATGTCAAATATAAAACTTTGTCTATCTCGCGAAAAAATTTTAATTTTTTTAAATCGATGTATATGCAATATACAATTGCACCTTGCGGATTATACAAATGCGGAATTGCGTTTGCGCTCTCCCCCCAAAATGAATTACAATCTATGTATATAATATATGTATGCAATAGAGATTGTTTCCAAATCAACACATAATTACAAAATAAATTTAATACCTATTTCCAATATTTTGTTTTTACTTTGTTTTAAAATCTTGTAAAATTAATTGTTATAATACTGTTATTTCTTTATTTTGAAATAACAAAATAACGAATATATGAGAATATGGAAAGACAAGAGAAAACATGATTTAATTTTAAATGTTCGAAATTTGTATCGCATTAAATATACATACATATATAGCATCAAATTATTGAAATGAGGCTAAACGTTATCTATCTCTCTCGCGGAGCAATAACATTTAATTTGTATAATAATGTTTGGAAAGGTTCGTCGCATGAATCGAACGAATCACACTTTTGATACGCGCGTCAGATGAAATTTGCCTATATCCACCATTGCGATGTGAATTTTACGTCACGCCGGATACCACTTGTTTCATAGAAAAAACACTACAACGATACTCCAATATCCATGGTATCGCCTGAAAACCCGTTGTATCGATAACACAAGCGAGTTTTACCAAATATTGCTTGATTGTAAGCCCAAAAGATCCGACGTTTTCGCGATACAATCGAGACAAACTTAATTCCATTTGGACAAATAATCGATAGTATGTCGCAAATTTTAATGATTTCCATTAACTGAAATAATCATAATAAAAATCCGACGCGATAAATTTCCCGTTCGTTAAAATTAATTAAATGTAATCAACGATAAGGTAGCAATTATCACTGAATTATTCAATTTGAAGTTTCACCGCACGAAAACATTTTGCTCGAATTTTCCCCGATTTATGCCATTTGAGAGAGATTGCAGAAATTAAATTTATAAATATAAAGTCGTATCATCGTGTGCGTATGCGCGTGTGAATGTAAAAGAGAGAATATTAAATATGTTAAAGACGCTATCAATTTTCATTACTTCCGAATATTTCTCTCGTCATGCAGATCGTTGTCGGAATAAAACAGCGCTATAGAAACTATACAGTTTCCGATTCGATTGAATATATCGTCGGCTCGAAAGCCACTGCCGATAACGTGTCCGCCGCGTATAGCCCTCTCCTTCTCCCCAAATCCACAAAATTCCAGTCTGCCACGTGCAGGATAAAACGCAGAGAAGAACGAGGATAATAAAAAGCCCCGCCGCGTAGAGCTGCCGCTCGAAAAAATTCGTACGAAGATTTTTATAATGGTCAAACTCCCTGCTCTTGCATAGGAAAAATATCGCAATTTTTGCCTCTATCAGAAAAACAGATTAATATAGGGGGCAATCGCGGAGAGAAATTCTCATTATCGTTTAATTACCGTATAGTCCAGCATACGTACAAATTCAAGTATTTTGTCGAGCCGCTTTTTTGCGGAAATACAATTCAACAGATGTATAATTATTTTCGCACATACCTTCTTATCTCGAGTCCCATCGCGGCATTTCCGAATGATGTAGTAAGATCGACGGCAGCGTTGAACCCTCAATCGTCGCAATTTCACCTGTAATAAAAAAGAAGAAATCAAGATTAGAAGTGATGATACAGATCCATCGCGTAATCGTTATAGTTAATGCAATAATTAATGAGACGGTACGTATAATAAGGATGTTACGTCGTCGAAACATATATGTGTCATATATAGTTAAGATTTTTAAAAAAATGTAAGGATAACAGTGCGTTCGCACAATTAAAATTAATTATTTCCAGATATGAAATCTTGACGATACAATAGTTTAATTCCACTCGACATTTAACAGCTCGCGTAAATTTGAAAATTGCATCCCACTCAGTTCTATGTACGAGATGTACTTGGTCTCGTTTATCTTCGTTCTTGCTTTCGCGTTAATAATATAGAAACAACAGACAACTCTCGCACGCGTATCCCATTTTCCGAAATCCAAACTATATACACATCTATATATATATATATAATTATTTGCTAAAATGATGATGCAATTGCTTTTGTACGTCGCGAACATTACGCGCCGAGTACTTATATTGGTTTGTTTTGCGTTAGCAGTTAAGAGAACATAATCATTTTGTAGCCCACACACGCGAACGTGTAAATAATGCCTGACGTTATCTGCATATTATGCAAATTATTAAGCAAATATTTAAAAAGCCAGAGTTGAAATTCTTGCTAAAAAAAAAAGAAGAAGAAGAAGAGAAAAGCGAACTTTTTTTATTTTGTGATTTTATTATATATAGTAACTACGCGAATTTTGAAAAAGTTGTAGAGTTATAAACAGAGCTTATTCTCAACTCAACTTTTATTAACGCGCAACTTGATTTTCGTTGCACACGCACTCACACATGCGCGCGTAACGAAATTAAAATGTTTTATCGAAATATTGATAACAGAATTTCGCGCGACGCGAAAAACAACACGAGAGTCACGTGTGTCGTCAATAAAAATTGTTTAGCGAAATCCGAGCGGCGAAATTTCACGTTCGAGCAATAATTTTCGTATATATATATGTGTGTGTGTGTGTGTGTGTGTGTGTGTGTATATATATATGTGTGTATATATATATGTATATAATATGTGTATATATATATATGTGTGTGTGTGTGTGTGTGTGTGTGTGTGTGTGTAACGTATCGTCATCGCGTTTTCGCGATCTCCCTCTTGCTCGAATCCACGCTCAATCTTCCCGCGCGTCGTCATTTTCGGAAAAATCTGCAAAATATAAGGAACAGCGCGCGCTCGCGAGATCGATTCGAAATCACCGGCGTTACAAAGCGGGAACCTCGCCCTAGCCGAAGGGCGTTCTCGGCACACAAAGCGATCGAACACGCGCACACGTACAGTCCCTTTCACCCTGCGAATATCGCCGAGATCTACGCGCGCTTTCCTCTGTGAAAACCGCTCTCTCTCTCTCTCTCTCTCTCGATATCGCATCTCGCCTCCCTCGCAGAAACGCGTAAAATTCCAGTTCGCCGTCCAATGTACGCATCACAAAGTATCGCTCTGTATATCGTCGAGATCAAGGGATGCTCGTCGTAGAAGGGCGTAGCGCGTGGAAAAGGGAGAATACCGAATGATTTTTATATCATTATCGCATTATAATCGGCCAATTCTCCGAGAGCCGTCTTAATAACCAGGGTGTCCAACAGACTCGATGAAAAAAATTCCCTGACATTTCCCTGATTTTTTGCCCGGATTTTTTAGTATTATTCTTTTCCAATTATATCATTTGCATATATCTATATGTAATAAATCAATTAATTGTTGAAATAATAATAAGAATAACCGTTCTTCGTGATGGCGTGTAAAGTGATATGTAACTTTTCATTAAAACGTACAATAATTAAGGGAAACTAAGACGATTCCACGCTTTCAAACGATGGAATGCCAAGAGTTTTTCCACCTTTAAAATCATCATTGGAAATAATCCGCATTATCATCTCGAAATGAAGAACAATATAGTGATATATTCAGCCTCAAAATCATACATGCTACACATCATCAAAAGTTGTAATTGTTCGCATCATCCAAGTTATTTTATGTATGTTTATAATTAATAGTATGAATTGCAATCGTTCGCATCGTCGAAATGTTTTTTAAAATTTTATAATTGACTATATGACATCACTGATGAAGACTGCGTACAGTCGAAACGTTTGATTTAATTGTATTAATATGATTTAATTGTTTTAATATGGTATAATTGAGAAGTAATAAAAATTTATAATATTCACTAATCCTAATAATGTCTGCTCTTGAGTTGGTCTGTTCTTACATTAATTTTACAATTTTAATTAAATGTTAAATAATGAAAATACTTATTGAGTCAGCTCTTTTTGTGGCTTTAAATGTTAAATCATGAAATCCTCGAGTTATTTTTGTCAACAATGAAAAGGAAGTTTGGAAGTTGAAATAAAAATTTAAAGTAATTATACAATCTGCATTAACGTACGATAATCGAAACAAACATGTCGCTATTTAAATAATCATCTCTTTTATTTGTGTTGTATAAAATTTTTTAGTTTTGTCTCTGTATCAAACATTTTATTGAAATAAAATAACACGAGGATGAGAAAATAAATTAACGAACGCGCTGTAGATGAATCGATTTTTATAACAACACACGGAAAATTAGCGCGCTGCGGGAGTCAAAGAAAAGTTTATATTTATTTAAACAAAAAAATTTCAAATTATCGAGACACAAATGTAGAAAAAATAATGTAAAAAAATCCAGATATAAACAGTAAAATTTCCTGAATTTTCCCTGATCCCAGATTTATCAAAATCCCTGACCGCCAGACACCCTGCGATAAGGACACTCTCGAGGAATTCCGTATCTCCGTTTAAAGATTTCAAGAACACAGAATGATGAAATTTATTTCGACGTTTCACGTCATTATCTCTCTCTCTCTCTCTCTTTTTTTTTTTCAACAAATTAGTGTCACGTGTTTTAACACGAGGACGGAAGTACACGCTTATAGAACCGCGTGTTTGATTATTCTTCTCGCGCAACCTAAAACGTTCGGAGAGAACAATTTCTATTCCATTTCGTTCTATTATATCGCTCCTAAATTGCTGTCCTCTCACACGTCTCCTTTCCCCCCTCGACACCCCCTACACACACGCATACACACACGCATACACACGATCGGACAAAAGATAATCGCGGAGCTGCCTGTCGTGTTCCACGGGCTTTCGGGTGCGCGCTGGGTTGCCCCGAAGGGGATGACGCCGGGCGTCGCGAAGCAGGACAAGGGGGTGGGAGAGGGAGGGGGAGTCGGAAGAGAGAAGAAGAGACCGAGATCGAGAGAGAGAGAGAGAAAGGGAGAGGATTGGAGACGGCCGGGTAATGGGGGAGTCGGTACGTGGGGTGGCTCGGTGGTACGGCAACGAGCGGTTTCGCGGGCATGTGGGTGGCAGGGGATTTTGCGCGGGGCTAGAGCATCGAGGGGGGAGGAAGGGTGAGAGGGGAAACGAGGGGTGGGGTTGGTTAGGCGGACACCACAGAGGGCGAGGCGCGCGCTCTCTCGCGCACTCGCGCGCACTCTCTCTCCGTTGCACTCGTTATCCCTCGATTCGCCCGCTTCTTTCTCCTTCTCGTCCTCTCGCGACAGAGCCGCATCGGCTGGCTCTCTGTTTCCCCACTCTATCTCTTTCTCCGGCCGTATCAATCCGTCTCCGTCCCGCGTATCTGCTTTCTCGCGCACCGGTTCTCCACCTCTCCTTCTTCCGCCATGGCACCGCTAGCCGGTCCTCTCTCTTGAATCGCTATATGCGCGCGCGAGACAGGCCGGGCACACCAGGGAGGAGAGAAGGAGGCGAGGTTCACGTTCCATCGCGAAGCACTGAGCGGAATTGGTATATATCGGAGGGTGAGAGAGAGAGAGAGGGAGGAACGTGGCGTCGTTTGAAGACGAGTTCGCTCTGCCTCTGTCTGCGCTGGGAGGCATTCCGGGTTGTTGCACCGGAAGGACAGGCGGTGGCCTGGCAGACCTCCCTCTATCTCTCTCTCTCTCTCTTCTCGATGCGTCGCCGAAGTAAGTTCTGCAGGAGCTTTAATGGAGGACCTGGATAATTAGCGCGAGTGCAGATATCCCATTGCTTGGGAGACGAAGCGACGAAGAATGCGAACAACTTGCCTCGTAATGCAACGACCGACGTGATATCCAGCTCGTGAGGCTTTGCAGGAAACGCCGATTTTCGAATGTATCGCTGATTTCGTTTGCGTCTTACGCAATGTGCAAAGTACGTAGCAAACTTTTTGATTTATAAATGATGTAAAACTATGAAGTCACCAGATGATAATTCAATTCTGGCAAATAAGTGAATTTATTGAATTTTCACTGTTAATTGGTCGATTGAACTATTACCATTTTTTAGATTTATTTTTCGCGCCTATTTCTCCATATGTCAGTTTCGAGATTAATTTATATCTGGAACTTAGTGATCCCGAACCAAAAGATACAGTTCCGAATAATGATATTTTCGTGCTTTGATTCTGTTAGCCCCGATTTAAAAAACATTGTAATTATATTCTTAATATTGGGAGCCGATAAAAATATTTCTTTCTGATTTTAGATTTATTTTCTAAAAAAAATGATGGAAAGTGATCGTTATTTAAATAAACTGTAATTACGTATTTTATAGACAATACCGCAATTTTCACGCTTATGCGAATGTCGATTAGTACTATTTATATGTAGAAAGGCGCGTGCGTGTTAAGCGACATAAATTGCTGCGAAAATATGAAAACTGGACAATGATAAATAATGCCTGGAATTCGTATTACCCACGAGACATTTTGTTTCTGCCGCTACTGTAGCATACCTTATGAATGAATATGGTTATATACGATTGATATATATACAGGGTGTCCGGTAACTAACGGACCAACGATTACAAATGGATTCTTTGGTCAATTTGGGAACGATTTTTCCTTAGCGAAAATGTCGAAAAGGTCATCAATTTTTACAACTTTCAATTAAAATTTTATTACAGTAAAGTCTACCTGAAATTAACTGAAGAATGTAATT